AAGTCTCCTTGGCCTCTCCCTCTGCCAAAGCCTCTCCCACGGCCTCGGCCTCTCCCACCCCCTCTTCCTCTGCTTCCTCCTGCAGCTCCATACCCCTCAGCAGTTTTGTTGGCAGCACCAACTCCTATGTGGCGCCTGCGGAAGTCCTCCTGCAGGATCTGCTGCCGTAGCCACTCAGGCGTCCACTTGTCCTGCTGAACGTTGAGGGTGGGGATGAGGTTCTCCCACGAGTTGTCGAGCACCGAGATGATCTTGGTGCACTGCTGCATCTCCGACACCTTGCTGCCCGCTGCTGCCATCCTCGCATAGGTGTCCTTGATCTTGTCAAGGACCGGCTTCACATCGTCTCCCGGTCGCATGGAGAGGGCAGCCAGCTCCTTCTCCAACACAATCACCATCGGCAGCGTGTTGGGCTGAACCACGTCGCGTAGAAGCTTCCACGCCTTCGGTCCGGAGTCATCAAGCTCCACCAAATCCTTGATGTGCTGGAACATGTCGTTGTTGACCGATTGAAGGATGAGGTCGTACAGCACCGCGCTCTTCTCAATCCACCGATCGCGGGCATCTCCTTCCTCCGGCATCTTCTCTTCTCCCATAGCAATTTTCAGCAGCTTGTAGCGCTTGAAGGCGCTCCTCATCCGCCCGCTCCATTCCTCGTAGTTGGAGCCATCCAATGCCTCAATCTTGGATGGTGGCGGCTCACTCCTCTTTTCAGCTGCATCTCCACTCCCTTGACTCATCTCCTCTGCTCCCAATCACAGCTTTCAGCTCCCCCTTTGCTGGTCACAATGTAGATCCACAAAATTTTCACAAGTGTCGGCGCCAACAAAATTTCGGCAGAGTTTCCCCTTAGCGGAAGTCACATGCAACCTCTAGAACACCACTTAGGCACGCCCACAGGCCATGGTGGGTCTAGGAGGGTCTTGACACCTCAGTAGACTCTTCACAACGTCCTCAATCAGCTCTGATACCACTTGTTAAAGACTAAGGACGAAGTCTATGAAGATAAGGGGCCGAAATATCTCAAAATCGTTGGCTTAGAATTCTGGACAGAAATGTCGTGTTCACAAGAAACGCCGTCGACGAAAACCTAACCGTTGGAATTCTCTCAAACTCGAGTATGTTGTAGCCCTTGACCGTGGCTATCATTCCCAATTTGAATCGCATCCAAAGATGGAGTATAACTCGAGTTATGAATTTCGACGCACTAGGGGGTAAGCTGCCATAGAAACTTAATCACAATTGTTCTCACAAGTTGCACAAAGAAGATTGGAGTAGCTAAAAACCAGGTAGGAGGGAAGAGGAGGACGAGAGGGAAGGTCCCAAGGGAGTCCCCAACCAAGGAAACCTCATACCACACAATTCCCCTCTCTATAGGCACCCCAACTTTGACATTTGTCACTTTCCCAACCCATGCCCCTCTGTTGTTGATGCCACAGCCACCCCCTCGCCCTCGCCCCCCCACTTCTGTTCTGCCTGGAAAACTACCCGTCCCTGCTGTCCGCAAACTGAAGGGGGGAGAGGTGGGTGTGGTTCTAAGGGATGTGACTCTAACAGGAGGAGATTCTGGTAGGGGTGAGGCGGAGGGACGGGAGGAGGGTGAGAGGGAGAAGGCGGAGGAGAAGGGGGAGGGAACTGAGGGTGGAAAGGGTGGGGAGGGAAGTGAGAGTGAGGGAGAGGAGGGGGCCAAGGGTGGGGAGGGGAGTGGGAGTGAGGGAGAGGAAGGGGAGATACGAGGTGAGGCGAAAGGGAAGAACACTTGCCAACCTGGTTTGGCTCCTCCCAACCATTTGGCAACATCTACAGTAATGGGGACGAATTTCCCAACCCCCAAAAGTCTATACCCCATATTGAGTCACTCCACAAATTCCCATAGTCGCCACAACCAAATATTAAAGCCCAAGACCTGAATTACTCAACGGAAGTCAACGCTAAAAACTAGGTTAGGAAGGCAGGCACGGAGAGGTTCGTTTGGGTTGCGAGAGACTTTCAACTCGCGAAACAATTTGCGACAAAAGTCTCTCGCTTCCCATGATGGGTGGGGTCCTTCCCACAACCAGAAAAGCGCTTGCATACCAAACTGTGCACAGTTTGAGATAGCACGCTTAGTATTAGGCATAGACCATACCCGTAGACAGGGCAGGGCGTCGGTGTTCACTCAAAAGAGATCAGATGCGCCTTACGATGTGGGAGGCGCGGATTTCGATGATGACGCGCAAAGCTAGTGTTAGTTGTGTGAAGAATTTTGTGTCGAAATGCAGGTTATTGTGCAACTACTGCGTAGCGTAAACTCGCCGCATCGAAAATCGAATCACACCCGTTCGACCAACCGTGACCCTCCCCTCGCCCTCGCTTTCCTTTCCCTAGGTCCCACGCTTCCGCTCTCTGTCGTCCGCGTCGTCGCCATCATTTCCGCAGCTCGTCGCCTTCGCGACCCCAGCCAGTCGCGAACGCTCCGCCCGTCGCCTTCACTTCCCCCCCGTCGCCTTCACTCCCCGCCCACCGTCGCCTGCTCTTCCCCGTCGCCTTCACCCCCCCCAACCCCGTGGTGACTTCCCACCCCCCGTCGCCTTCACTTTTCCCCCTCCCGTCGTTTTCACTTCCCCCGCCCCATGGCCTTCATTTCCCCCACCCCGTCGCCTTCACTTCCCCCCCCCCCCCCCCCCCCCCCCCCCGTCGCCTTCTCTTCCCCCATCCCGTCGCCTTCAACCCCCCCCCACCACGTCGCGACTTCCCACCCCCCGCGCCTTCACTTCCCCCCCCCTCCCGTGGCACTCGCTTCCCCCGCCTGTTGCACTTGCTTCACCACCCGTCGCCTTCACTTCCCCTCCCATTGCCTTTCACTCTCTCCTGCTCATTCTCTCTTCCCCGCCCGTCGCCTTCTCTACCCCTCCCATTGCTCGTCTTTATCCCCTCCATTCCCCCACCCTACGCTCTCTCTCCTCCCCCCTGCTCACTCTCTCCCCCACTGCTCACTCTCTCCCCCACTGCTCACTCTCTCCCCCACTGCTCACTCTCTCCCCCACTGCTCACTCTCTCCCCCACTGCTCACTATCTCCCCCACTGCTCACTCTCTCCCCCACTGCTCACTCTCTCCCCCACTGCTCACTCTCTCCCCCACTGCTCACTCTCTCCCCCACTGCTCACTCTCTCTCCCACTGCTCACTCTCTCCCCCACTGCTCACTCTCTCCCCCACTGCTCACTCTCTCCCCCACTGCTCACTCTCTCCCCCACTGCTCACTCTCTCCCCCACTGCTCACTCTCTCTCCCACTGCTCACTCTCTCCCCCACTGCTCACTCTCTCCCCCACTGCTCACTCTCTCCCCCACTGCTCACTCTCTCCCCCACTGCTCACTCTCTCCCCCACTGCTCCCTCTCTCCCCCACTGCTCACTCTCTCCCCCACTGCTCACTCTCTCCCCTCTCACTCTCTCCCCCACTGCTCACTCTCTCCCCCACTGCTCACTCTCTCCCCCACTGCTCACTCTCTCCCCCACTGCTCACTCTCTCCCCCACTGCTCACTCTCTCCCCCACTGCTCACTCTCTCCCCCACTGCTCACTCCTCCCCCACTGCTCACTCCTCCCCCACTGCTCACTCTCTCCCCACTGCTCACCCTCTTCCCCACTGCTCAATCTCTCCCCCGCTGCTCACTCTCTCCCCCGCTGCTCACTCTCTCCCCCACTGCTCACTCTCTCCCCCACTGCTCACTCTCTCCCCCACTGCTCACTCTCTCCCCCACTGCTCACTCTCTCCCCCACTGCTCACTCTCTCCCCCACTGCTCACTCCCTCTCCCCCACTGCTCACTCCCTCCCCCACTGCTCACTCCCTCCCCCACTGCTCACTCTCTCCCCACTGCTCACTCTCTTCCCCACTGCTCACTCTCTCCCCCACTGCTCACTCTCTCCCCCACTGCTCACTCTCTCCCCCACTGCTCACTCTCTCCCCCACTACTCACTCTCGTTCTCCCTGGACTCACTTATCTTTCCCCCCTGTTTACTCTCTATTCCCCTTCGTTCAACCCTTTTTCCCCACAATCCCTCTCACCTCCCCTGTTCACACCCCTCGTTTCCCCCTGCTTACTGGCTTTCCCCTTTGCTCACCTCCTTCTCCTCCCTGCTCACCCTATATCCCTCTTTGCTATCCCCATCCTCCCCTCCCCGCATGTCCCGCGCATCATGTGTCCCTCGCGCACTCCGCGCTACCGCAGCGGACTTGACGCTGCGCCTCAAGGGCGCGCCTTTCGCGGCGATGGGCGCGCGGCTGATCCTCTCCGCGCGCTCCGTGGAGCGCCTGGAGGCGGTGCGCACTTCCTGCTGCGGGAAGCACGCGCCGGAGGGGGTGGTGGTGCTGCCGTTCTGCCCATCCGCGCACAATGAGTGTCCAATTTTACACACACCCCTCTCTCTTTTTCAGTTCCTACCTCTCCCAGTTCCCCTCGTTCCCAGTTCCTCACTCTCACGACACAGTCTCCTCCTCTCAAGTCTCTACAACCATGTGCTCTCCCTCTCCTTTCGTCTTTGCTCACCCCTCTGCCTTGTCCACTCCTCCTATACATGCCCTTCTGCACCTCCACCTCCACTTTTCGCTTATTTTGCCATATCCCCTCTTCCCTCATTGTTCTATCACAGAATCATGCTTGTACAGGTGCCCAGCACCATGGGTCCAACAGGAGTGGGATGGAAAGTTACCACCTCCTAGCTTTGTACATTGTGCTTGTAGTCTACTACTGACAAATTTTTAAAAAATATAACTTGCTTTGTTGTATTTCTTTGTCGTGGTCATGTGCATGGCTGCTCTAAAGCCCAGAGTGTTGTATCAGGAGAAGGATCCAACATCTCTACATCGCATGGCTATTTGTCATACCACTAACATCAAACAGCTAAGGCATGACAACTGGATGCATGGCAAACCTGCACAAACACGAACCACAAACACGAAGCATCAGGGAAGGATACAAAACAATGACAATGGGAGGGCAGGCGACAAGAAACAAGCCCCTAAAATATACAGACAGGGTAGGAGTGTAGTCGCGTGGCAGGGTAGAAGGGTGCAGAGGAATGGCTGACGAGAGGAAGTGAGGAGGCTGAGAGGAAGGGAGGATGGCAGAGAGGGATGCAGAGAACAAGGACTGTGCCGAGGGAGAAAATGAGCAAGGGAGACAAGGAGGAAGGGTGGACGAGAGGATGGGATGAAGGGAGGGAGGAAAGGGGAAAGAGAGGGGGGAAAGACACTGAAGCAGAGAGTAGGGGAGAGGGTGGAAGAGAGGAAGGGAGTTGGAGAGGACGACGTTGGGTGGAAGGGTGGAAGGGAGGAAGGGAGGGGGGGAAGGAAGAAAAGAAGGATGGGAGGATGAAATGAAGGGAGAATGAGGGGAAGGGAGGATGAGCACAAGGGCTGGAGGGTGGAAGGGTGGAAGGGGAGAAGGGGGGATGGGAGGATGTGAGGAATTCAAGTAGGGAGAGGACAAGTGGGTGAGACGGAAAGGCGGTTGATTGGAAGCTAGGAAGGTGGCAATTGAAAAGAAGGGCGTCAGAGTCACACTCCCGTGCCCCCCCCCCCAAGTCCCCTCCCCCCCTCCACTCGCCCCCTTGAGCACAGCGCTCCTCACTCCCCGCCTGCACGTGCTGCCCCGGCTGTGCGCCAAGCACTCTGCTCCAATGCTGCAGCAGCACCTGCCATGTGTGCGGGGTTGGTGCGAGAGAGATGTGCTGTGCTGCCATGGGGCTGTGAGGGGCACAGCGTGGGGGGTAGGGGGTGTGCACAGCGGTGCATGCTCCTCGCCTAGCACCGCATCAGCTTTCATTCTCCCCTCGCCTGCGCATCACACCCTCGCACACGCCACAGCGAACAAGTCACGACCCCATACCCAGTGCCCAGCCCAGCACTGCATCTCTCTGCGCTCAGGGTGGGTGTCCACTCCTATCGTCCACCACGTCTCTCAACATCCCGTCACGGTGCACTTGCTGATTGGTTGTAAGAAACAATGAGAGGAAGGGAGGATGCGTGGAAGGGAGGATGCGAGGAAGGGAGGATGAGAGGAAGGGAGGATGAGAGGAAGGGAGGATGAGAGGACTGGAGGAGGAGAGGAAGGGAGGACGAGAGGAAGGGAGGATGAGAGGAAGGGAGGATGAGAGGAAGGGAGGATGAGAGGAAGGGAGGATGAGAGGAAGGGAGGATGAGAGGAAGGGAGGATGAGAGGAAGGGAGGATGAGAGGAAGGGAGGATGAGAGGAAGGGAGGATGAGAGGAAGGGAGGATGAGAGGAAGGGAGGATGAGAGGAAGGGAGGATGAGAGGAAGGGAGGATGAGAGGAAGGGAGGATGAGAGGAAGGGAGGATGAGAGGAAGGGAGGATGAGAGGAAGGGAGGATGAGAGGAAGGGAGGATGAGAGGAAGGGAGGATGAGAGGAAGGGAGGATGAGAGGAAGGGAGGATGAGAGGAAGGGAGGATGAGAGGAAGGGAGGATGAGAGGAAGGGAGGATGAGAGGAAGGGAGGATGAGAGGAAGGGAGGATGAGAGGAAGGGAGGATGAGAGGAAGGGAGGATGAGAGGAAGGGAGGATGAGAGGAAGGGAGGATGAGAGGAAGGGAGGATGAGAGGAAGGGAGGATGAGAGGAAGGGAGGATGAGAGGAAGGGAGGATGAGAGGAAGGGAGGATGAGAGGAAGGGAGGATGAGTGGACGGGAGGAGGAGAGGAAGGGAGGATGAGAGGAAGGGAGGATGAGAGGAAGGGAGGATGAGAGGAAGGGAGGATGAGAGGATGGGCGGATGAGATGATGGGTGGATGAGATGATGGGCGGATGAGATGATGGGTGGATGAGAGGATGGGCGGATGAGAGGATGGGCGGATGAGAGGATGGGCGGATGAGAGGATCGGCGAGAAGGAGATGGAAATGGAAAGAGGGACTGGATCGAGGGAGGATGAGGAGAGGGAGAATGGCAGGAAGGGAGGGCAGGAGGAAGGGAGGGAGAACGGGGAGCAGGGGAAAGAGGGTAGTGAGGCAGAGAGTATGGGATAGATGGAGGAAGGGAGAAAGAGAGAGGGAGAGGAGGACGACCGTGGGGCCCCACGGAACGGAGTAAGGGAGGAGGGCAGGTGGTAAGAGTGTGGCAGGGTATAAGGGGGATTGGAGGATCCCTGCACCCTCTCTCCCTAACCCCCGCCTTCCCCGCTCCGCCTCCCCCGACCCGCCCCCTGCAGCACTGCACTCCTTGCTGCCCGCCTGCACGCGCTGCCCTGGCTGGGCGCCCAACACTCTGCTCCAAAGCCGCACCACCACCTGCCATGGGCGACGGTGGGGGGAAGCGTGGGCGACGGGGGGGGGAAGCGTGGGCGACGGGGGGGGGAGCGTGGGCGACGGGGGGGGGAAGCGTGGGCGACGTGGGGGGGGAAGCGTGGGCGACGGTGGGGGGAAGCGTGGGCGACGGTGGGGGGAAGCGTGGGCGACGGTGGGGGGAAGAGGGGGCGACGGTGGGGGGAAGCGTGGGCGACGGTAGGGGGAAGCGTGGGCGACGGTGGGGGGAAGCGTGGGCGACGGTGGGGGAAAGCGTGGGCGACGGTGGGAGGAAGTGTGGGCGATGAGCGGGGAAGCGTGGGCGACGGTGGGAGGAAGCGTGGGCGACGGTGGGAGGAAGCGTGGGCGACGGTGAGGGGAAGCGTGGGCGACGGTGGGGGGAAGCGTGGGCGACGGTGGGGGAAAGCGTGGGCGACGGTGGGAGGAAGTGTGGGCGATGAGCGGGGCGCGCGTGAGGGAAGGTGGGGGAAGGCGCGAGCGACGGTATGGGGAAGCGTGGAGGAAGGTGGAGGAGGGCGCGCGCGACGGTGAGGGGATGCATGGGGGAAGGCAGGAGGGAAGGGAACGCGTGAGCGACGGTGGCGGAACGCGTTGGCGACGGCGAAGGGAAGCGTGGGCGTGTGCGTGGGGAGGTGTGTGAGAGACGGTGGGGAGGAGCGTGGGTGACGCGGAAAGCGTGGAGTTCTAAATGGGCCGTAGGATTACTAGGAATAAATGTGAAAGTAACCCTGGCCTATGCTTTAGTGGCTTTTTGTTCTATCTCTTCGCACGATCTAATCCCTTAGCCTACCATCGGTGCAAGCACAACCTGAATTACGGAAGAAGCAAACTGTGCACACTTTGAGTGGTTGTTCCTTCAGAAGGGTGCGGTTGGGACTCTCGCTAACCGTACTTGTTCCGCCCTACGACTTCGAGTTTTTTGCGCGATGTTTTCTGGTAACCAGCCAGGCTCGGAAAGTCAACTGTGGGTTCGCCTTCCTCTTTTTGTAATTCAGGTCTTGGGCTTTAAAAGCATACGATCTTCAAATGTTCGCAACTTTCTCGTTCGTGCTCCGATCGCGACGATTCTTGGTTCGTCGGAAAGCTCTTGAGCAGAGGAGTCACTTCAAATAACATTCACACATACTCAGAAAATCCAAACCACACCAAACAGAAATTATTGCACACGCTGACACCACGCATGCAACGCACGAACATATGATGGGGGGGCAGACAGACGTGAATGCGAATGATAGCATCACACAACAGATGTTGTGTTCGTGGGTTAGGGTTGGAGGCAGTCCTACAGGAAGGTCATCTGGCATGATATCTTTGTGCTGCTCCAACACCTCCTATACTGCTGAAATAGCTCCGAGTTCGGCTTCTCCTCCTCTGCTGCTGCCATAACCGGTGCCAAGTAACCCATGTTACTCTCGTTCGTTGTCCGTCCGTTAGTTTCAGGAACGTCTCCTGTATCCGTCCAGCTTCGCAGCTCCACACGTTTCCCGTTGTTGTATAAAAATGTCTTCCGGTTGACCCAGTCAATCTCGGGGTTGAACCGCTTCAGGAAATCTCGCCCCAAGATGAAGTCCAACCCTTTAATCTTCGTGATCGGCAATGTCGGCTTCCATCTCAACGCACCTATGTGCAGCTGCAGTGATGCTTCGCCGTGGATGGGAAGCTTCGTATCGTCCACCATCGTTGCAGTAAACCGGGTCTCCTCCAATGACTCTCCAATTTTCTCCAATGTCCCGCGATCACACACTGAGTGGGGTGCACCTCTGTCCATAAGTACCTAGAGGCGTCGTCCTTTGCATAACACCTAAAGGAGTAGTGGTTTCTTCTGTTCTGAGTAGCCAAAGATAGTCTTGTTAATAGGATTATAGGGTACATCAAAATAATCATTATCCCTATTTCCTATACCTGACTCAGCACTCTTAACTTCCAACTTCACCTGGGGGGTAGGAGGATTTTTCTGGGGCTTGAGCAACTTATCTTAGCCTCTAATTCTCCCCTGATTTTTTCAAAGGCTTGAAAACCGCGAGAAGCAATATTCTTAGTAAATGTATATTTATGGGATAACTTTAACGAATTGGCTGGGGTTCGGCTGGAGTTTACCGGTCGGTGCAAAACATTTTTTTTTGCAGAGTCTCCATTTCCCTCGACAAATTCCCTTGGTGCTGGCCAATCAAGATATATAAATTCGCACCCTCATTTCCTCCTTTTTTCACGCGCTCCGAAGTCGCCACACCACCACCGCTTTGCCTTTTCCGGATCTCTTTGCGTTCGCCAGGTCGATCCGCGGCCACTTGCGATTCCCGGTTTTTTTTTTCTTCTTCTTTTTCAATTTGGGGTTGCAGCATTGTTGCTGTCCATCATCTCCGCTCGTGCTCGCTTCAGTTTCCAACACGACATAATCTGGTGTCCGGCTGCGCCGCAAAATTCACACTTTTCGGTCTTTGCTGGCTGTGGCTTCGCATCAATTTTGTCGATGTCCATCGAGTCGGTGATCGTGGGGGGTGCCGATCGCTCCGTGCTGAAAGCCTTATTCGGCACCTCGCGTTAGCACATCATATCTATCTGTTGCATATACCATGTTGCGGTAGCACTTCTAGTTCGCGGCGATCACTTGTCGGTGGATATCCATTTTCAGCCCCTCAATGTACGCTTGGATTTTCTCGCATTCGGGCAGGTCCGAAATTCTGTTGAGCAGGCTCTCCATCTGCTACGTGTATTGTGCTACACTGCCGAGCTACTTGTGCCGATGAAGTTGCTGCCGCGCCATGTAGAAGGAAATAATGGGTTCGAAACGCGAGATTAAAGTTGCCCGAAATTGCGTCCACGATCCCTTGCCTTGGACCACGTCACTATAGTACACCCACTCGAGTGCCGGGCCTCGCAACAGTGTCACTGCGAGCCGAATACTTGTTGCGTCATGCGTCGAGGGTCGTGCAGCCAATGGCCTCGAAGGAAATTTCGAGGGTAGCCACGAATCGTCGAATGTCCGATCCCTACGCGCTCGGATCGAACATCTCACGGAGCCTCGGACGGGCTGCTTCGAGATTTGCCGTAGCTGGTGCCACTGCTGCTGCGCGAAATGTCGGTGTCGCCACTGCTGCTTATGCCGTCGCTGCTGCATTCGACGTTGCGTTTGTTGCTGCCGTGGCAGCTGCCGACTGGTTTGTGAGGAGCGCCTCTATTCGCTGAAGCGCCCTCCGCGTTTGGTCCATTTTGGTGGGAAGGGTTGCGTCTTCGGTTACGAAGTTGTCGCCTGCGCCCTCCATTCCTGACATCACGCCCAAAAACCAAAATCGAGGGGGATCTTAAAAACACGGAACCGGTTTTACGTACCCAGAATTGGTGTTGATCATTCGTCCCCCCCGCGGACTTTGTAAGACTGGTTTTTAGCAGTCGAAAGAACTTCACGTGTAAACCAGCTCTGATTACCAAGTGTGAGGATCGATAAGATCGAGTTCAGAATCGAGAAATGAATTGAATGATCACCTGGGTACAACACGAGGCTATATATAGTCTCGACACAAGGCCAGTAACCCAGGTGTTCCGCGAAGGTTCCTAGGGTCGCGAAGCGTCCCGAATGGAGCCTTCCCGAATTCGGTAGAAGCTGTTTGGTGGAAACCGAATAGCACGAATTCGGTGCACGCAATCCTGGTTCGGTTGTATAACTATAATAGAATATAGGAAAGCATATAATTTAGAAAATCAAGTGAAAGCATGCATGATAAGAGAATCTAAGCTACATAAAGTATAATCAAGCAAACGCATTCAAGTAATGCCTAGCAAAGCAAGCATAAGCCGTCGTACTCTCACACTAGCCGTTTACTTGTTCAACCACCATATGTGAGGATCCATAGGATCGAGTTCAGAAATGGGAAATGAATTGAATGATTCATCTGGATACAACACAAGGCTATATACAGTCTCGATGTAAGGGCCAGTAACTAGGTGTTACGCGAAGGTTCCGAGGGTCGCTAAGTGTCCCGAATAGAACCTTCCTGAAATTGGTAGAAGACAATTTGGTGGCAACTGAAAAGCCAGGAATTCGGTGCACACAACATTGTTCGGTGCTCTTACTAAAATAAAATATAGGAAAGCACCTAACCTAGGAAATAAAGTAAAAGCATACATGCTAAAATAAACCTAAGCTAGATGAAGCATAATAAATTAAAGGCAAGCAGGCAAAGCAAGCATAAGCCATCGCACTCTCACATGTCCCCCCCATCAAAGCTGGGTGGCATGAGAAACACCCTGCTTGACAAGATAATCCTTGAGAGCACGGCATCCGTTGCCCATATCAGCTTCTGCAACCCAACTGTCCTCACCACGACAAGTCTTATCCCTTCCAACGGATCGAGAACTCGAGGATTTTCCCACTGCGGCGTCGATGAGTAAGAACGTGTTCCACCTCGTACTGTGGTTCATCCTGTACGAGAACAGGTCGTGGTCGTGGTAGCTGCCGTCCCCGAAAATGTTGATTCGGGTCCTTGTAGGGCTTCATTAGCTGAACATGGAAAGCATTGTGAAGCTTCCACGTAGTAGGTAAGCGCAAGTGGGAATGTAACTGGAGTCACCATCGCCTCAACATGAAAGGGACCACAAAAGCAAGGTCGGAGCTTGGACGGGAGACAAGTCCAAGTTGCGTGTGTCGAGAAGCACCTCTTCTCCGGCTGCTACTGAGTCATAATGTCGCTGTTGATCGTCATATTGCTTTTGGGATTTCTGCATCCTGGTGAGACGTCGTTGAGTCTTCTCCCATAGCTGCTGCATGGTGGTGACGAAGTCATGTGCGGCTTGGATGTGTGCAAATGTGGTTGGCTGCTGCGGTGCAAGTGGTTCCCGTCTGTAGCACAAAAACAAGGGAGATTTCCCTGTGTCCACAGGCGAAGCGTTGGTGTAAGCGAACTCAAGCGTCGGTAACTGTAGATCCAAGTGGTTGATATCATCTTTGCAAGCTGTGTACAATTATTTTTCAACCACCTGATTGAGTTGCTCTGTCTTTCCATCAGTCTAGGGGCGGTATGGTGAAGACATCGCAACAAACCCATGAGCTCCCTCCAGAACGTACTTGTGAACTTTGGGATCTGTCTGAGATGGGTGTAGCAAGGATGTCGTTGATGGTGATGATGCGGTCGAAGAAGAGGCGAGTAGTTGCTTCAGCTGTAGCCGTGGTGTTGGTCGGAATGAAGTGACCCATTTTAGAGAACTTGTCGATCACCACGAGTATAGCGTCATGCCCTCGTGAGGTCGAAGGAAGCCCAGTGATGAAGTCTAGGCTAACAACTTGCCATGACTACACCGGTACGGGTAGAGGCTGAAGTAACCCTTCATTTTTCTGCTTACTACTCTTCATCCGCTGGCATGTGTCGCATGAGGTGACGAACTGCTGCATGTCTGCTGCCATCCGGGGCCAGTAGTAATACTTTGTTATTCGGTACCCAAATCTTTCCTGAACCCTTCTTTACCTCTAAGTTTTTTCTCCCACTGCAACAGCTTCTCTTTCTGTGTTGTAGCGATCTCTGCATCCATGTAATAACCATTTTGGAACAAACCCTTGAGCAGAGGGTTCATCCCGTCGAGCTGGATGCCTGCTACATGTCCGGGGCGGCTCAACATGTCTGCTTTGATTTGTAGCCTGGGCTTGTAGACGATGCCGTAGTGGAAGTGTGTTTCCATGAAGTCTACCCACCGTACCTGTCGTCGTGAGAGCGTAGGCTGCGACTTGAGGTATTTGAGACTGCAGTGGTCAGTGTAGACTTTAATCTTGTGTGAGGATCGATACGATCGAGTTGAGAATTG